TTCCTAATTCAATTCAAAGCTGGACCTCTCCAACAAATGGACGGCTTACACTCTAGCAATTACCAACACCATCTTTTCCAACTACTGCTATTTCTTCCTCTGTTTCCAACCCCCAGTAACTACCAATGCATCTTGCTTGATTGCATGTTTGATCAATTTCAGGCGGAAGACAATGGTACAATTCTTCCATTCCTTCTTTCTACTGAAGCTACTACACATGTATAATTGGTTGAATGGTGGCCTATACAGGTCAAGAATGTGCCAGACAAGTGTCAGGGAATGGACCCTGTGAGGCCTGAGTCATCAGCGGGAGGCAAGAGACCGAGTTCAGGCGCCACTTCACGACCTGGCCCAGGACGAACGCCTCCACCCACCAAGCCCACACTCCTGACTTGGAAGCCGTGAAAGGACACAGTCAACTCTACAGGCACTGCGAGGACTAAGTGACAGTGGCAGGTTGTCACCTTGTAACAGCAATGTTCTCGGGAGGAGAACTTAAGGTCCTGGGAAGAGTACAACAGTAGGAGTGGTGACAGAAGTGACAGTGACAGAAGTGGTAGCAGAAACATTAACACATGCACTCCTCCCCTATCGACCTGGTCAGGTTCCAAAGACGAGCTTTATGCGAAAATCATCGCAAAGGAATGCCTGTGTCAGATCACAAGATGGGGGGGGCAAATATGTCATCACGCCACTGTCAAATTACAACCATCTGGAAATGCCAAACCACCCTACACACACCTTAACTACTTAAGTAGGGCACCTCGGAGTTGGTGACTACAGGTGTACATCGTTAATGCCCAAACTAGTTGGGTGGATTTCCCCCTCTTACTATCAAGGGGCCTGTGGGAGAAGGAGCTGGGAAGTGAGGAGCAGGTGTATTAGCAGCAGCAGCTCGCACTGACTGGGCGACAGTCGCAGGACGGGCACTGGGAACTTCATACAAATGCCAGGGAGCGAGCACAGCTATGTCTTTGGGTGGCAACTACGGCAATCTCAGGCTCCAGGTTAGCTAGCTTGTCCCAAGTTGTGCACAGTGGCCCCACCAGCAGCAGCTGCTCTGAGCAACGAGGCTACACCTGCAAACCACAAAGGCTCTTCACCAAGAGCAGCTGGTTTGTTTGCTAATCGTCCTCCCACTCCATGCAGAGGGGCCTGGGGCACTGCAGGCAGGCATGCAGGCTCTCATGTGCTGAATCACACCATGTCCCAAGTGTCCTCACTGAGAGATCTGCCCAGACAAGCTGGCAGCTCCCGGGCGAAAGGCCCAACCGGCTCAGACTGAACACTGAAAAGAGTAGCACTTGGCCATGCACTCAGGCCAGGTGAGGTGGCTGACTCCCACTCCTGCCAATGAGCCCAGCGGCCCACCACAACCAAAACCAAACCCGTTTACAAG